GAGAGAGGACATGTGTACTACACCATTACTTGCAATTTTCAATAGATATTTTTGATAACAAACTGATTCTTTCAAACTTATTCATGCTAAAAGGCCAAGTGAATTTGTACTGGTTTCTCGCGTCGTTCTGAAAACGCCTACTTATCAGACGCCGCCCACAATCCGGACGAGAAGTCGATCATGACGTACGTGTCATGCTTTTACCATGCGTTCCGTAACGCACCAGAAGTCCGTTCGATGCCGCCACCAGTTCGTGCGCAGATTGTGCCACCGGAACGCGATTGGCGTAAAGAAGTAAGCAGCCCGTGGTGGGCAGTGCAGTGGCGTGTGAAATGAGTGCCGAAAACCTGTGGTCTACCTATGTTTGAATGCGTTATTATTAATCTAAAAGGAGTGACACACTAACTCGTCCACTTATCGATTTTTGTTTCAAAGAGATTGGTTTTTGTTGGCTCTTCGACCAGCGATAGACATTCAACGGAGTTTCGAAAGCGTCTGTGTTGTTTGAGGTGATGCTTTCAGACATGGTAAACTCACATCCGGACGAGAAAGCCGTCATGACGTACGTCTCGTGCTACTATCACTATTTCAGCGGAATGCGGAAGGTCTGTGAGAGCGGGGATCGTTTTTTCGTTATTTCTCAGTTTTTGCTGCGCCTAGTGTTCATAACTCAAGCTTCTTAATGAAAGTGCAGTTTTTGTGCCGTTGAGTGATGGTGTGAAATGAGCTGGACAGCAGTTGTCGACCATTCTTATTTTTGAAAGTTATTGAGCACAGGATCCTTATAGGCTCATAATGTTCAGATGCCTAAACTCAAAAGAAAATATACTATGGCTTCAGGAAAGGTCGTTCAGCCTTTCAAAGGCAAGGGTAGGATTTTTTTAAATGTGAATTACATTAAGTTGAAAGTAGGATCGAGTAGGGAGCGGACCGAAAGCAGAGAAAAAAAGGAAATTATGACGAACAAAAAAATGCCCCGTGCTTTCAAGCGGAGAAGTCCGAGAGGGCAGGCGCGAGAGATGAGAAGACATGTGAGTCGCGGAGAGGGTAAAAGAATTCGAGTAGAGCGAGCACAGCAGTCAGCCATCGCGACGGACGACAGATATGTAATGGGCGGGTCCTGATTCTTTCTGGTGGGATGTTGATCACAAATTTTTAGCGCTAGCGTTCTCGAGAGATGTTCGATGTGCGAAGGTCGCGTATCTGGGGTGGTGACGGACCATCCACTCCTACCACGGAGTCTACTTCGATGAGGTTGATCCCGTAACAGGACTTTAAGATCTGTGCAATGTTCTTGGTACAGTTAGATAAAGCTAAAATGAAACGAATTTGAGTGATTAAGCCCTACTGTGTGATGCGCCAGCGTGCACCTACACTCGACCGTACTTCTATTCAGAAGGTAGTAGTAAATATTCGATTGCGATTTAGCCTCTTACAATGACTCGTGGTATTCCCGGAAATCTCAAGAAAAATGTGATGATCTTTTCGCTTGCGGGAGGAGGAGTTGAGAAAGGGGGAGGAATCTGGTGGCGGTAGATGGTAGCGACCGCCAAACACTCTCAAGTGCTGCAGTGACCCGCCATTAATTTGTTCAGAAGTTGTATTTCAGCTCTAACGGCATCCCGTAGAAGCTTATCCATTCGTCATACATCCGCCAGAATAGGCCATATTCCTGCGCAGCTGCGGGTTAGAGGGATCTCCTTCCATCAATGCACGGAAAGTTGGCGAAAAAAAACGAACTTGAGAGTTTCTAAAGTCATTAACTCAGTCATAGCTTGAGATGTAGCCTGAAGGAATCTGTACTCAATGACTAAATCTTGAACCAACCCCCCCCCCCCCCTACATTGCAGTCGTTATCAATTTAGGCGGAAACGGCGGCGAATAGGATCTGCCGGGTGCTGAAAGTTAACCAAGAAAACGAAAAGATGATGCAAGAGTACGAACATCTTGCCAGTGACGTAAGTAACTGTCCTTAGTTTTTTTTCTGATATTGAAAACTCAGTCGAAGATTGGCGGTTCAGCTGCTTGCTTGGATAAATCACTGGATGCCCGTGGTTGGCGAATCGAACTACTGACGACAATTTGTCGAAGGCACAAAAGAAACTCGACGACTATCGTAATTATAGACGGTGAGCATCATTAGAACCAAACGATCAGCAGTGGTGCGCATGCACGGCGCATCCAAATAATGACGGTATGTTGTAGGCATGAGAAGCCTCCACGAATTGAGGATAAGGGCCGGCTGGAGACATTGTTCAACACACTCCAAACTCGTCTTCGGCTTTCGAATCGACCAGCGTTCCTTCCCAGAGATGGACATCTTGTTAAGGTTGGTTGGCATTTTTCAACTCCATTTCCCGGCCAAATGTTTCATATTTGAGGACATTAACAATGCATGGAAAAATCTCGAAGATTCGGAGAAGGGCTTCGAAGAGTGGCTCCTCAGCGAAATCATGCGGTGAGTCTTCAAAAGTTTGGATTGTGTAAATCATGATGCTGGGAGGGTAACGGACCCCAACAAGCGGGACAAACGCTAAAGAAGATGAGGATCATGCTGGGAGGGTAGTGAAGAGTGATACGTGGGAAACCTCCAGTTTGCTGGTAATCCGTCCCAACTATAAGTTCTTTTAAAATCTCCTAGATTCCTTGATTGCTGGTAAACTTGCGCGGTATAAGAAACACCGGGACTTTTGGCAGACCTTACAAGGGTTCTACTGAAGGTGATTCATTGCGGACCACCGTGACGCATGTGGCTCGGCGTCTTTCAGGCCGCTTTCTCATCAATAATTAATGATCTTCCCTTTTTCAATAAACGCTTGTAAATGTGTAGTTCTTCGGATCTGACAGGTAACTACATCTCTGGAATGTAAAAAGGTCGCATGATCAAAAACGACCCTCGTCTGTGGGGTGGCGTGGTGCCTCTGTGCATCACGCAACCCGCAGTGGGCTAAAGGCACCGGGCACCGTCAGGTGAAATGGTGGACGGGGCTTTCGACGACTTAAGAGAAAATCTCCACGAAATAAGCGTAGGATGGGCAAAGTCAAAGGATTTGCCGTTTCTTAGGGACCTATCTACCTGCCCCTCCAACTGCTCGATTGGCCGTTTCGGATGGAAAAGTGGGCGGAGTTGGATCCCGT